CCGTTGCTAAGGAGAACAAACCGTTGCTAAGGAGAACAGACCGTTGCTAAGCAGGATCAATGGAATCTGTGCAGTCATATCAATCCGCAGAAGTCCGGTCAATTTAACGTCAGCTGTGGACAACAAACATTAGTTTTCCTCCATCAGAAAACACAGTGGAATACTTTTTGAATATTCATTTTTATATTTTTTTATAGAGCAGGAAAACTTTGGATTCATGATGACTAAACTGTAAAGAAAATAAAAAGAGATCAAGAGAAGGAAAGAGGTTAAAAGACAGAGAGCTGGACTTCAGAGAAATCAACAGAAGAAGACAGACAGGAAGTAAACACTAAAGGGAACAGCAGAAGAAGACAGACAGACATGTATTTCTTAGTGGAATCAATAGGCGCGTTCACACTGGAGTACTTTCCCCCGTACTTTTCCCGTTTAGTTCCGTTAGTACCCCTGATGTCGCGTTCACACCAAAAAGAGTACTTAGTGCCGGGAACTTTTACCCCCATTTTTAGTGCCTGCTGAGAGGTGGTACTCTCCTGGGGGAAAAAGTGCCCCAGTTCTGATTGGCTGGGCGAATTGCAAGCCACGCCCCGTAAAACTCTGAAATGTTTTGTAGAGCTGCCATTTTATTATCCTCGCATTAGCATTATTAGCATTAGCATTCGCCCAGTGAAAAAATGCAGAGAGACTAACTTATAGCAACACAAAATAAAGCATGGGAGCGGTGGAGATGAGGAGGTGTCGGCGTTCTGGCGATTTACTCGGAAGGCTTCAGTAGAAGCTGCTGGGAGTCCCAGCAGCTTCTACTGAAGCCAGTCCCCAACTCCGGGGACTTCCGGCCGGGGACTTCGGGTGGCAGTATACGCCGTGAAGTTGTTTGCGGCCTGCCAGTAAACCCAAAGCAGAAGAAGTGACGTCAGCGGCTCATTTGCGTAATCTTCCCTCAGGGAACTTATTCCGGTGTGAACGCGATCGGCTCTTAGTTCCATGGGGGAACTAAGTGCTGGCACTAAGTGCTGGGAACTAAGTACTTGGTGTGAACGCGGCTAATACGATCATTTTAAATCAACATTGTGAGTAAAGTTGATGGTTTATTTGTGGTCGTGTAATAAGCAGGTAAAACACCTTTGCGTCGGGATCCTGATCACCATGTCGGTATTTTGTTTCTCAATAATGACGCCTCACTGCACATCTTCCCTCACTTAACCTTTCATCTTCTGGTGATCCTTGATATGGAAAAGTCCTCCAACAACACGACCTTACTCTCTTCTCCGTATAAAACGTAGATGTGAGCAGATGGAGTCTCTCCTCAGACAGAGAGACAGTGAAGTGAGATAATAGCCCACAGCTAATCCACTGCACACTGAAAACTCATTACTCCTTCAGAAAAAAGAAAAGAAAAATCTTGCTCCCCAAGACGGAGAGAGATATTCTGCTTAAGGTGGAAGGTTGGTGCTCCTCATGTGTGAAATGTCTTTTAAGCACAGTTCAGCGGATTTGACTCGTCTTTATTGACGAGTAGCTCCGTACGTTACGAGCCTGCCGGTGAGCGCACACACACACACACACACACACACACACACACACACACACACACACACACACACACACACACACACACACACACACACACACACACACACACGTCTAAATACACAAACACAGCAACAGAAACCGGCATTTGTAAAGCAACATATCAGTGTATTAGTACGTTGACGCTCATTAAATGAGACTTGTTGCTGACAATTGAGTAATACAGGCAACACAGTATCCTATTTTCAAATGTATTGATGGACATTTCTGGCAGATATTGGTCTCCATTTGTGTTTTTATGACATAAAGATCTATCTGCAGACTCTAAAAACTTGCTATTTCCAGTTCCCTAAATGATGAGGCAACTTTCCAATTTCGTACATCATTAATTCCCAACATATTCCAGAGGTTATTGAAACATTTGCCTGTATCCATTATTATTGTTTTATATTATAATCATTGTTTTGGTTACATTCAGTATCTATTAACAGTGTTCTATTTAATTTCCAGTAATCTTTAATGCCGTTATGTCTGATTGGTCCCATACTGACTTTTAGAATAACAGTGTTATGATCTGTAAAAACAGAGTTTGATTAGCACCGAATCCACATTATATTTAATGTCTCTGGAAATCAAGCAGCACTCTAAGCTGGATTGCTGAGATGTTCCCTTATTGATCAAAGTGTAGGTTCTTTGGTTTATTGTCATGTTACCCATCATGATCAATATGAAAGATCCACAAATGTCTGCCTGGAATCAAACAGACAAGATGTAAATGATTGAGGATGAGTTGGGTTCACACGTACGTACTACATTAAGTCACATAATGGAGAACAGGCGGTCAAACAGAGTGTGTGTGTGTGTGTGTGTGTGTTGTGTGTGTGTGTGTGTGTTGTGTGTGTGTGTGTGTGTGTGTTGGTGTGTGTGTGTGTGTGTGTGTGTGTGTGTGTGTGGTGTGTGTGTGTGTGTGTGTTGTGTGTGTGTGTGTGTGTGTGTGTGTGTAGCTTGATAGATGATGGGAAGGTATTTATAGCTTCAATGTATGGATAAATACATGTATTGTGCGATTACTTAACACTGAATTTGAAACTTTGTGTACTTTTACATCAGATAATAGTTTAGAAATTGAGACGGGGAAAAAATAGGCTTTAATGTAAAAGTCAAAATGCTTTTCTGTTCTGATTTAGTCTTTGACATTTAATTTGAGTTACCTAAAGCTCCCTTTAAATGTGAACTCATACCTGAAAACCACTCGTAAATCCTTAAAATGTTCTTTAACATCAGGTGGTACATAATAAAGGAAATGTCTCTTAGTGACGCACTATAACATCCTCATACCTCGAAATCTCTCTGCTAAGTGATTTATTGACGTGCCCAAAAGGGGATAAGCTACCAAATGTCAGAGCCTTTAAAGCCATCAGGCAGTGAAGATCAAATACTCGTATTGTCAGTCAATGATTTGAGACATGATGTGAAGCTCTGTCCCCGGTGACAAAGTTACATCATCCATTATGTCATGTAACGCAATAATTGCACCATCTGACTTTCTCAACTGAAAGTCAGATGGTGCAATTATTGCGTTGTTTACAGCCTTGTAGATCTGAACAAAAACAATTCGGAAAAGGAAGTGGGTGATTAAAGAGGATATATTATACAGATGTTCAGGTGTATATTACACTGAACAAAAATATAAACGCAACACTTTTGTTTTTGCTCCCATGAGATTTTCATGAGATGAACTCAAAGATCTAAAACATTTTCTATTTACACAAAATAACCATTTCTCTCAAATATTGTTCACAAACCTGTGAGGTGGGATGGATTATCTCGGCAAAGGAGAAGTGCTCACTATCACAGATTCTTTCAGATTTGTGAACAATATTTGAGAGAAATGGTTATTTTGTGTTTATAGAAAATGTTTTAGATCTTTGAGTTCATCTCATGAAAAATGGGAGCAAAAACAAAAGTGTTGCGTTTATATTTGTGTTCAGTGCGTATTGAGTGTCTCTACTGGGACATGTCTCCATGCTTTAATGTTCAAAAAGCTCTTTATTTTTCTCATACTGCCTGTGCTGCAGCACCTCTTTTCACCCTCTGTCTGAAACCAGAGCCCAGTCTGCTCTGATTGGTTAGCTGGCCGGCTCTGTTGTCCCTCCCATTAGCCTATCACATACAATTTGTTGGAGCGCTAGCCAATAGAAGAGCAATCCAAACCATGATGTTTTTCACACAACTTGGTGGCAACATACTCAGGTGATTGATACAGAAATGCAAGATTCAAATGCTTTAGGAAACATAAAACAAGCCTTCTCTACCGTATATTCTTCTTGCAAATGTCCAATCCCTGAACAATGAGCTTGATGGACTCTGGAGCAGGATGCCATTTCAACAGGACTGATACTATAGTGAAAATAAAACCTAAGGAAAACAATATTCCTTACATGAAAGCAGAGGTCCGCCTTCTAACCTATTGGTGGGTAAAGTGTGTCCCTTCTAAAGGAGGGCAGTAAAAACCACCGCTGATTACGTTCAAAATGGTTGCTTAAGACTTTAAACCAAATCATCAGGGGTTTTAATAATGAAATCCGATTTTTTTTTTTAACCACAAAGGGTTTTCAATTCAATAAAGGCTGAACCTCTCCTGACATCAACAACAACAGCCCAGGGTTAGATTTCCACTCTGCTCTGAGGGTCTCTTAGCACAAATAACCAAAACCTCTGAGACCCTTTCACCTTCAACTGTACCATCTGCATATTCACACATAATATCATCCTCATAGTCCTTCAAACCCCATTGCTCTGCTCTGATAATCCCATGTCCGGGGAGTCGTAAGCAGCAGCACAAGCAATTATAAAATCACTCATATGCTGGAATCAAATTATTGAAGATTAGATTAAACCTTGATTGTGTTTTTTCCCCCTTCAGGTGGAAAATGTTTGCTCAGCATGTGGAGATAAGAGTCGCTGCAGCAACAGGACGAATGCTGAGACCTGTGTTCACACATATTGGTTAGCAGGTTGCACTCACTGGATCGTGAAATGCCCTTTTGGCCAATGCGCTTCAGTTTATGTTACAAATCAGCAGCCTGTTACATTAAGCTGTGCTCAGTGAGCCCTCCAGGGCAAATACATGTGTGCGGAAAGCAGGTAGCAGATGTGGAGGGAGAAGACATACGGAAAAAATAAGACATTAAAACTGACTTCCTCCACATCAGACGGAACAGAATAAGGGTGTCACGCGACATTGGGGAAGCTCTGAATATCTAAAAGTTTGCAGGAAAATAAAAACCCCAAGAAAAAGCAGAAAACACCGTCACACACACACACACACACACACACACACACACACACACACACACACACACACACACACACACACACACACACACACACACACACACACACACACACACACTAACATTCATTCACGCTCTGAGGTGCAGCAGTGAAGAAATGAAGGTCGACCTTACCTCCCAACGCTTGTTTCATTACGAAATTCATGATGATGGCTTTTAATTCCCTGCCTTCTTTGTCCGAGCGATGTTACATTCAATAGTGACGGAAAAGTAGAAGTCCTTTGTGGCCAGATCTAGGACAGAGAAGCAAACACAATCCTTAACAAAATGAATCCTAAACACCCCAACATGCATCATTAACACAGCAAACGCAACAAGCAATAGGGCACATGTTAGAATTTCTTGAAATGCAAGGATAAAGAGGTCACTAAAACCTCACTCCACACTCAGACACTAAATATTTAAATAGGGTTGTAGAAATACTACAATCATTTCTGAATACAGCATATCTAGGCTTATCCATATTTGTTTGAAAAGCACGTTTCTTCAATACACTGATGAAGGACATCAAGGTCAATGGTTCAAACACAACCTGAAAAACGCCAAATAACTCAAATCAGCAGCCAACTCTCGTCTTTTCCTCACAAATGTGAATCTTTTTCAAGAACACCGGGCTTTAGTGAGAAGGAGTAACGTGTCACGACGATCAGAAACACCCTCTCGAGTTTACAGAAAGTGCACGGTGCAAGTCCTCGTGCTTGTCAGGACAATATGCTGCCATGCACGAGGACTCCGGAAGAAACCAGTGGTGTGTATTTTTTCCTCATCATCATGTGGTAAAACTTTCCATCCTCCATTGGAGGGACGGTGGAAACAGCCATCCCAAACAAGCTGCTCGTTAATTACGCAGCAAAGCATGCACGTTATCAGCTACATATGTGCTGTGAATGTGATCAAAATCGAGCTGGAGATACATTTACGTGCACAGAGACAGAGACGGTGTAGAAATGAGCGGGGATGCACATGCACTTCCTCGTTTGAGCCTGGTTTCAGCACCAGGGATAGCGTCCTAAACCGATGAAATGCATTGAAACATCCGCCGCAAAGCATCCATTTACCTCCGTCCGGCGACTGGTTGAAATCCTCCTCACACACTCACACACCAAACACAGGGATCAGAGAGCTGCAGCGAAGTTATCCTGCAGCGGGCAACAGCTAATCGAACTGCTTGTCCCTCCTCGCATCTCCGGCTCCTGGGGCTGGGAAAAGAAGGACGTCCTTGGTGCTGCTTCTTCCTGCACACACACACTCACACACACTCACGTAGAGAGAAAGAGGAGGGGTGTAGTGGTGGTTTGTGGATGGAGAAGCAGCTGCCGTTCACACCGTTTTGGAGAAGGAGCGACAGAAGAGATGGAGAGAAACGTCCCACTAACCTGACCGACAGAGTGATCAATTATTCAGCCCACTGACGTCCTAAAGCCAGCCCTCTGTCTCTGAGACGGGGAGAGATTTCACTTAATACGGTAGTGCAGAATTAAGCGGGAAAATGATGGGTGTGGGGTAAACATCTCTTTGTCTTGTGTAATGTGACACAAATCTGTTAGCATACAGGAGACGTGATGGGAAGATCATGGTGTTCCTTTCTATAGGGAATTCCCGTGTGTGCCTTTTTACTACACTATAATGCAATTGCCTATGTGTTGAGTGGTTACATCATTATTCTAGACAGCAGGATATATCAGTGGTGTAAACAGACCGTTTTAGGCGCTCGTGTAAAATGAACAAAGAGGCACCTCACCCTGATACCTGGTAAGATGCTTTGCCTTTAATCATCCTTGTATCCAACAAATAACATTCCCATACAATTAAACCGAATACTCAATTATATGTTTTTTTTTTACATCATGGTTTAGCAAAACACTATGCAAAAAGGTTGATGTACAGTAATGACGTGATCAAATGGTGTATGGACTACTTTAAGCCTTGAGTTACTGTTTTGGCATTTTTAGTCTTGTCTTTTTCGCAACCAACAATAAAACATGAGGGAGAGTTATTTACAACCTAATGCTCAAGACATTATAGGTTGACCAATATGTTAATGTGAAATTTCATAAACTGAAAACACAATGTGAAAGGGTAACATTTGTAAGAGGAAACACAGAAAGCAACCATACTGGATGATGCCCGTGTAGCGATCTGTCATTCACAAAGTAGTCCCACCCCCAAGGTCAATGTGACTTAAAATGGGGCCATAAGTTGCTCAATGAACACCATGCTGTGTTGGGGGTGCTAGTGGATCATCGCCGGGAGGAAACCGGGAGAGGGCAATGAAATCGGGAGTCTCCCGCGAAAATCGGGAGGGTTGGCAAGTATGATCTTGCGTGCTGGAAGGTTTTAAACTGTAAGGCTGTTTTTTACAGTGACACCAAAGACGATTCAGTATTCAACTTTATCCTGGTAGAAAATGTGTTCTGCAAATGTATGCAAAGCTGTGACACTAACATTTCCCATCCTACACCCTTCGAGCTGTATCTCATTTAGCATCCCATTCAGCACACACTGATGCTCTCTGGTTGGCATGATTTGTATGTAAAACCGTGCCAATTTGAGGCCCTTCACCATTCAGCTGTGTAACAGGGACTTGACATGTTTCCTGGAATTAGGCGGCATGAAGAGATTTTTGATCCCCCCTCTCATTTTATCTCCACCGTTCACTTCATTTGAGGAGTATCGTGAACAACAGCATGAACAGTGTGCCAAACTCAGGTAATTAGACTTCCTCCTCTCTCCACCGAGGAATTCTCCCCAAATACTGAAGCTCAGACGAGGAACAGCTAAGACATTTCAAAACATGTTTCTGCTTGGTGTTAAATGCAACTGCACATTTAAAGTTTGAAGTTAAACAGATTATCTTCATAATAGCAGGACATATTATGCTAATGTTCAGGTGTATATCAGTATGTAGTGTCTCTACTTTAAAGAGTACTCTCCTGCTGATGTTCAGGTGTATATCAGTATGTAGTGTCTCTACTTTAAAGAGTCCTCTCCTGCTGATGTTCAGGTGTATATCAGTATGTAGTGTCTCTACTTTAAAGAGTCCTCTCCTGCTGATGTTCAGGTGTATATCAGTATGTAGTGTCTCTACTTTAAAGAGTCCTCTCCTGCTAATGTTCAGGTGTATATCAGTATTTAGTGTCTCTACTTTAAAGAGTACTCTCCTGCTGATGTTCAGGTGTATATCAGTATGTAGTGTCTCTACTTTAAAGAGTCCTCTCCTGCTGATGTTCAGGTGTATATCAGTATGTAGTGTCTCTACTTTAAAGAGTTCTCTCTTGCTGATGTTCAGGTGTATATCAGTATTTAGTGTCTCTACTTTAAAGAGTCCTCTCCTGCTGATGTTCAGGTGTATATCAGTATGTAGTGTCTCTACTTTAAAGAGTCCTCTCCTGCTGATGTTCAGGTGTATATCAGTATTTAGTGTCTCTACTTTAAAGAGTCCTCTCCTGCTGATGTTCAGGTGTATATCAGTATGTAGTGTCTCTACTTTAAAGAGTCCTCTCCTGCTGATGTTCAGGTGTATATCAGTATGTAGTGTCTCTACTTTAAAGAGTCCTCTCCTGCTAATGTTCAGGTGTATATGTAGTGTCTCTACTTCAAAGAGTCCTCTCCTGCTGATGTTCAGGTGTATATCAGTATGTAGTGTCTCTACTTTAAAGAGTCCTCTCCTGCTGATGTTCAGGTGTATATCAGTATGTAGTGTCTCTACTTTAAAGAGTCCTCTCCTGCTAATGTTCAGGTGTATATCAGTATGTAGTGTCTCTACTTTAAAGAGTCCTCTCCTGCTGATGTTCAGGTGTATATCAGTATTTAGTGTCTCTACTTTAAAGAGTCCTCTCCTGCTGATGTTCAGGTGTATATCAGTATGTAGTGTCTCTACTTTAAAGAGTCCTCTCCTGCTAATGTTCAGGTGTATATGTAGTGTCTCTACTTTAAAGAGTCCTCTCCTGCTGATGTTCAGGTGTATATCAGTATTTAGTGTCTCTACTTTAAAGAGTCCTCTCCTGCTGATGTTCAGGTGTATATCAGTATGTAGTGTCTCTACTTTAAAGAGTCCTCTCCTGCTAATGTTCAGGTGTATATGTAGTGTCTCTACTTTAAAGAGTCCTCTCCTGCTGATGTTCAGGTGTATATCAGTATTTAGTGTCTCTACTTTAAAGAGTCCTCTCCTGCTGATGTTCAGGTGTATATCAGTATGTAGTGTCTCTACTTTAAAGAGTCCTCTCCTGCTGATGTTCAGGTGTATATCAGTATTTAGTGTCTCTACTTTAAAGAGTCCTCTCCTGCTGATGTTCAGGTGTATATGTAGTGTCTCTACTTTAAAGAGTCCTCTCCTGTTGATGTTCAGGTGTATATCAGTATTTAGTGTCTCTACTTTAAAGAGTCCTCTCCTGCTGATGTTCAGGTGTATATCAGTATTTAGTGTCTCTACTTTGAAGAGTCCTCTCCTGCTGATGTTCAGGTGTATATCAGTATGTAGTGTCTCTAATTTAAAGAGTCCTCTCCTGCTGATGTTCAGGTGTATATCAGTATGTAGTGTCTCTACTTTAAAGAGTCCTCTCCTGCTGATGTTCAGGTGTATATCAGTATATAGTTTCTCTACTTTAAAGAGTCCTCTCCTGCTGATGTTCAGGTGTATATCAGTATGTAGTGTCTCTACTTTAAAGAGTCCTCTCCTGCTGATGTTCAGGTGTATATCAGTATGTAGTTTATCTACTTTAAAGAGTCCTCTCCTGCTGTTGTTCAGGTGTATATCAGTATGTAGTGTCTCTACTTTAAAGAGTCCTCTCCTGCTGATGTTCAGGTGTATATCAGTATTTGGTGTCTCTACTTTAAAGAGTCCTCTCCTGCTGATGTTCAGGTGTATATCAGTATGTAGTGTCTCTACTTTAAAGAGTCCTCTCCTGCTGATGTTCAGGTGTATATCAGTATGTAGTGTCTCTACTTTAAAGAGTCCTTTCCTGCTGATGTTCAGGTGTATATCAGTATGTAGTGTCTCTACTTTAAAGAGTCCTCTCCTGCTGATGTTCAGGTGTATATCAGTATGTAGTGTCTCTACTTTAAAGAGTCCTCTCCTGCTGATGTTCAGGTGTATATCAGTATTTAGTGTCTCTACTTTAAAGAGTCCTCTCCTGCTGACGTTCAGGTGTATATCAGTATGTAGTGTCTCTACTTTAAAGAGTCCTCTCCTGCTAATGTTCAGGTGAATATGTAGTGTCTCTACTTTAAAGAGTCCTCTCCTGCTGATGTTCAGGTGTATATCAGTATGTAGTGTCTCTACTTTAAAGAGTCCTCTCCTGCTGATGTTCAGGTGTATATCAGTATTTAGTGTCTCTACTTTAAAGAGTCCTCTCCTGCTGATGTTCAGGTGTATATCAGTATGTAGTGTCTCTACTTTAAAGAGTCCTCTCCTGCTAATGTTCAGGTGTATATGTAGTGTCTCTACTTTAAAGAGTCCTCTCCTGCTGATGTTCAGGTGTATATCAGTATTTAGTGTCTCTACTTTAAAGAGTCCTCTCCTGCTGATGTTATATATGTGTATACATATATATATATATATATATATATATATATATATATGTTAATTGTTGTAATTGTTGTGCAGTTTCCTTAATAAATACAAAACAAACCTGGATTTGTTGCAACTGGGACAGTGCTACTTCAACCTCCAGACAGCACAGCTCTGTCCTTGGTCGTGAAACAGCAGCCAACGACACTCATAGTTTACATGTAGTGTCTCTAGACCAGTGCTTCTCAAAGTGTGGTCCACGGACCACTGGTGGTCCGTGAGCACCCCCTAGTGGTCCGTGAGTATATTGGTACAATTTCACATTTTTTATTAATTAATTAATTAAAGTTTTCCGCACTCTCGCGGGAATATCTCCGCAATGGAGCGAGCTTAAGTTTAACTTTCGATTGCATGATATAACCCAGATAAACACCTTCATCACACATATTGCCACTTGTTTGTACAATTTTCAGGCGATTTGTAAAAAACGATGTGTTTTTGGATATTTGTGGAGTTAGGTGGTCCGCGAGTGTTTTTTTATTGGTTAAGTGGTCCTTGGTATGAAAAAGTTTGAGAAACACTGCTCTAGACCATCACTTAGCTGTTTTAAAACATACGGAGAAGAGTCAGGCGATGGCATATGATTAATTATGTTCAATTGTAGGGAAATTGTGTTTGATATTTTAAACCCCAACCCATTGTTTCACGTTCCCCCTCCTCCTTACTTGAGTGGACATTATAATCTATTAGATATGAAGGACATTTTTAAACATATGAAGGACATGTGGCCCAAACGTCCTTAAAAAACAGGTATTTACTAATTCCACTAATCCACTAATTGTAGGCTATACAATT